TGAAAAAAAAACATGAGAGACATAATATGCATTGTTTAAATTATTTGACTAACTAACTCAATAAATAACAGAATGATAAATTAATTGAAATGAAATAAACATACTTGTGAATATTATCGCATATCATATCCATGTGTGTTAAAAATGGTCTTGTGATAAATATGACATTTTTTACTTTTTCACGAAAATTACTTAACTTGCCAGTGTTTAAAATAAATACTTCTTTAACATTGTGTTCTCGTAACAGGCTATATGTAGCTACTAAACCAATAGGTCTAGTAAGTCCTTCGTCCAGAATTATAACCTGCATATTATTTTTTAATTGATTAATYGTAATAATKATACTTCAGCAATTCTTTATTAATATTGTACCTTAGGACCATCGCACTTGTCCAATAAATGAATTAAATCTTTGGCCGCAMCCTCTTGAAGTAAACTAATATTTACTCGACTACTGGTCAAATAGTTGGACATGATGAACAATAAAATTAATAAAATATAAATATAAATTTAAAAATAATATTTAATTAGGTTTGAAAGTATTTGTAAGACATTTGTATTCAATGCAAAACCAAAAAAGGAATTTTCACTATAAATTTATTTATTTTCTAATTTTCAAAAGTGTGTTAGGTATTTAAATATTAATATTGTATTTTCAAATTTGTATTTTATATAAAATATTCAATTCATTTTTTTTTTCTTAGTGAAAATATTATTGGCATTCGGCATCAAGGGTTTAATCTCTTTTCTATGGTTCAAGCCATTCAAGGTGGTAATTGATAATATAATCTAAGACCGTGATACACAGATATAGATAATATTATCTATATTTGTGCCGTGAATCCGTGATATAAGCACAGAATAGATTAATCTATTAATCTATTCTGTGGTGATACTACCCATCACTATTCCCTATAAAAAATAAAAATAAACAGTCGTATCAGGATTCAGGACCGAGAAAAAAGTTTTATTAAAAACCTCCAAAAGACCTAAAGATTGTTATTTGATTTGACCGAATTAATCATTCAGCATATCAGCCGCGTCCATTGCAACTCTACTTTATAAATTATATAATCATGTTTGGCTTATCGAAATTAGCTCAGCCTATGGCCAAGCAATCCYTWCAAGTAATTTCCAAGAGAACAAATATTACTGTTAACGGTCCACCTCAAGTCAGAATGCCGAAATGGGTAAGCACTATGTTTTTTGTATTGTAATTGCTTTATACTTACATAATATATTTTATCTTTTTGAATATTTTAATTGTTGAATGGCTTGAACTTTGAATTTTGTTTTTATTATATTTGTTGTATTTATGTAGAATACCTATGCTATGCTGAAAAATCTTTAAAAAAAAGTTACTTGTATTTTAACGCCCCGCCAATCTTGTTTGTCATTGCCCCACCACAAATAAAATATATTTTACAATTAGTTTTTAATTAAATTTACTTTAGTCATCAGTTTAGGTAACTAACTCTAGGTTGAATTTATCTTTACTCAGATGATACATATACTTCCTAATATACTTATTTATTGTTATGATTTTGTTGAATTTTGTTAMCAACTAATAATAGCTACTATTTCATATTGTTTTGTTCTAGCAACAATTGCTTATTGGAGGTGCTGCGTCTGGTTCAATCTTGATCATACCTATTTGGGTTCTGTATGACTTAAAGAGTCTTCCACGAGCATAATTACTTTACTTCATATTTTTGTTGCATTATTATAAATTAGATTTTATGTACTGTATAAAAATTTATTTCTATAGAAATAAAATGAAATTGTTGTTGAAATACTACCAACTGTATATAGTATTATGTAGTTTTGATTATTAACTCTACCTAAAATTCTTATCAAATTGTTGGTTCACTCAGTACAATAATAAAAGTAGTTTTTATTTTTATTTATTTTTGTAGTTAATTAAATTAATATGTAAATTAAACACAATATTTCATTGATATTGTTACTTGTTAACTCAATGCCTACTGCTTTAACATAGTTAAATCTTTATTTTCATACTAATTTACTGAAGCAGTCGGCTGATATTTTTCTTTAATCGACAGCAGAGGAGATTAATACTACTCCTCTGTTGCCATTGTTTACTGTTTTATAAATTCTTCAAAAATAGCACAATGCATAATACACATCAACAGACATTACCTATATAAGTTTAAACTAAGGTATTATATTTTTATCTTAGTTTATGCTTAGAACATTGGTTTGAATTTATAAGAGTAAAAATTCATAAAAACAGTTAAATCATTTGAAATTATTTCATAGTTATTACTGTACTAAAATCTTGTGTCTACATTTTAAAAACACATTGTTTTATAACTATAATAGTTAGGGAACCCAAATATTATATTGTAGGCATTAGGCACTCTGTATCCTGTATGTAATATGTATAATATAACCTTCGTAAGACGCACACTTCTTAGTTCATCCACTGAATATTAAATATTTTATATAGGCTATAGTTCATTTACACAACACTGAAACCTAAACGTTTTTGAAGTTTTATTTTAAAAGTTCTAGAAGTTTTTGAAATAGAATTAAATTATTTTATGTTGAAAATTTCACTGTGGAACTGCGGTACCTATATTTATTCTATATATATACAATCTCCTAGTGTAAGCCATAAATTTATTTAAGGGTTAATTCAAAATCCCAGTAAATAATAGGTAATACTCTATAATTATATATCAAGGACTTCTACATAGACCCATAAACTTTATAAATTAGTTAATAGGTTAATTGCCCTCAAAACATGGAATAAATAATAACTAATAGTCCTAATTTGGGGTAAATCCTTGTAGTGGAGCCAGTGGAGGTAGTCTGTGTCCTGTGGTTAAATTAAATGTCTAGAAAGTTAAAAAAAACATTATTGTCCCATTGACAGTTTACGCCTATATTATTACCGAGAAGTYTTGAAATCGGAGCCGTTCGCGTTAGGACAATAATAGCTTTGGCCATCAATTAGTATACGGTCCAAGCAATAAAGAAATAAAAAAAAAAAATTCCTAACAACATCAGCGATTCAGTGCAGAAAGCATAATTTAATTTTTTAATATTATCTATTATAGACATGGCCAAGATTATAGGCGAACTGATGAGTCAGGAATAAGAGTATATTATTTAATATTTTATTAATCTTAAGAGGTCARGAGGACGCAACACCCGCATGTGTTGTCTCCGTTTTACAAGTGCGTAGGTAACATACCAAATTTTACGCTCAGCAGATCACGTTTAACTCCGTCAGCTTAAGAATTACAGTGAATTGACCTCTTATACAATTTAAAGGTAAGAGCATTATTCAAACGTGAGCTCTTACTAAATTTTAATTTTAAAGTGAGATAAGTATATTTTACGTTGTACAAAAAATTTACAATTTAAAAATAATCTTATAACTCGCTTCAGAATTAWAATTTAGTAAAAAGCCCACGTCTGAATAACGCTCTTGTCTTTAAATTGTATAAGAAGTCACATTTAAATCCTTTAGTTTAAGAATTATAGTGAATCGACTTTTTATACAATTCACTATAATTCTTAAACTGAAGGATTTAAATGTGATCTGTTGAGCGTAAAATTTGGTATGTTACGCACTTGTGAGTTGTGAAACGG